CAATAATAATAGTTTCATTAGATGAAGATGATCACGACATCATTTTCCCTACCTTTGTAACTGTATTTCACGTTTACATTATGTAATACTGTGTCCGTAGCCAACCGTTTAACATGGTTGGCTACGTAAAGTGCGAGAGAAATTCAACATACATGTGCTTTTCCATACTTCCAGTAAACATAAGGACTTAAGAGTTATTCAACTGCAGTTCACTCAACACAAGCCTGCCACAAGTCGTTGTGATCATTGCAGCCTTATAACCCAGAAAGTGTCACGCTTGTGCCGTCAGCTACACAGCAAATAACAAAATCGTTAAATGAACTTTACAAACGATGTCATATCGCCAGCATTCTGTCAATCACTACGGAAACCATTTTTCAAATATTGGATACCAGCTATTTATTTAGATGTTTAATATTTGTACTTTAGTTTTTTTCATGAATGTTTTGTCAGTGATAAAACATATATTTTTAAAAAAATAAAACACGAATATAGTCCAGACACGACGACATTCATGAAAAGCAGACGAATACAACGATCTGGGCATTTTATATCGTACGGTAAATCGTTGAATCGCCATCATCGCGGCAACTTCTGTTGGGAACTCTGGCAGGCCCCCCATGTCACCTGCAGTTGGCAAAGATGAAAACTCGTGCTGCAAGAGCTGCGGAACAGCGTTTCGTTCAATAAAATGTGTCCGTTGGACAGAAGGTGGAAGGAAATTTACTGCGACTAGCAGTGAGAAAGGATATGACGTCACGCTTTCATGATGAACACAAGGGCAGAGGATGGCCCAATAACGCCTACACCAAGGTGTCCTGTTTATTCCCGCAGTAGACGACTGTCAAAGCCACCAGAGAGGCTTCATCTATAACAACTGGATCGAGGTGGACAGCTGGACAGTGAAGGAAAGACGCATTTTGATGATTGTTTGATTGCTTAATTCCTTTCCCATTCCGATGACGTACACGTACGTATAAGTACGTCATCGGAGTAGAAGCGGAACAAAATTTGATAAAACAGGTTTTCCCCTTTTTTCTGCCAACAAAACAGGTGTTAAGATGTTAAAACACCACGCCTTTTGGCGTCCTCTGGTCTAACACCATTTGAGACGAGGCTCAAAAGAAAGCTGTTTCTGGTGTGGACCAATCAGTTTCAAGGACAATGCATATATTATCAGAGTACGGTTTTTTTTGCATACTGACCACAGGTATTGTGGTTAATGCAGACATGATTCCTTGTAAAAGGTTTCAGTTTGGTATTTTAACATCTTAACACCTGTTTTGTTGGCAGAAAAAAGAGGAAAAACGTGTTATCATATTTTGGTACTGGCAAAGGAGGTCCCATGATGATGTTTGAATTATTCTTTGGTTTTTTCGGTAAAGTCACGTATAAAAATAAAATAATAAATTAAATAATAGCATACGACGTTTCGATTGCAACACAAGCAATCATCATCAGGTATAATAAAATAGCGACATAGAATATAACCAGAAAACTATAGACAGACATATAAGCAGACAGATATCACCAAGATACATAGAGAGAGCAACCCAGGTACAGAGAGAGGTGATCGTCTCTGTGGGGTGGCCTTAAATAGACAGAGGGGGGCGGAGGCAGAGAGAGGGAGGGGGTAGGGAAAACATTTACATGTCAATGAGTACGAAGGGAGGGGAGTAAGGTAAGCAGGCTTAGAGGGAGACAGAACACACTAAATTAAATAACCTAGCAAAGTATCGAAATATTATGTAAAACGACACAGAGAGTCGGTCAACACACAATTAACGCATTGCCTGGTCGATTACGTATTTCAAAGATTGCTAAGTTAGAATTTAAGTGTGAAAATTCCAAAGAAAGACAAAACATAAAAAAGAGGAACGGAGACACACAGACAGAGCAGAACCTAAGAACGATACAAAACGAGTGTAGACAGAGAAAATTACACTAAATATACAGGCAGAGAGAGAGAACAAGAAACCCAGAGAGAGAGAAAAAGGTAAACTTGGAACTTCCCCGTAGAAGTGGTTCAATCTTAATTTTGGAGCTTTCGTGACTGCTTTCGTGACTACCTGTGTCGTTTAACATAACATTTCGATACTTTGCTAGGTTATTTAATTTAGTGTGTTCTGTCTCCCTCTAAGCCTGCTTACCTTACTCCCCTCCCTTCGTACTCATTGACATGTAAATGTTTTCCCTACCCCCTCCCTCTCTCTGCCTCCGCCCCCCTCTGTCTATTTAAGGCCACCCCACAGAGACGATCACCTCTCTCTGTACCTGGGTTGCTCTCTCTATGCATCTTGGTGATATCTGTCTGCTTATATGTCTGTCTATAGTTTTCTGGTTATATTCTATGTCGCTATTTTATTATACCTGATGATGATTGCTTGTGTTGCAATCGAAACGTCGTATGCTATTATTTAATTTATTATTTTATTTTTATACGTGACTTTACCGAAAAAACCAAAGAATAATTCCTGCAGTCACGAAAGCTCCAAAATTAAGATTGATGTTTGAATTGTTGTATAACTTGTTAAATAGTTATTTGTAAAAGGGAAATGTTAAGGAAGTCACTTGCATTTTGTGAAGTTATTGTCTCTAAACATGGCAGACACGAGTCTGCTGTCGTCAGTTTATGAATCTAGAACAGTAGGCAGGATCATCAGTGACGATGCCAAGCGATAGCACGCTCTAAGAGGCGTGCTGCTGGGAGATGCGGTGCAGTGGTTAACGCGACCGCAATGTGAACCTCCGCGGCTGAGCTCGATTACCGGTCTCGGATAACCACATTGGCGAGTTTTATCTCCCAACCTTCACTGATCTGCAATGGCCCGCGGGGTGATTGGTCGGATTTCTCCAGGATAAATAAAGATTCTGGTTCTGAAGTATGGTCAAACAACCCGACATGGTGTGGGGAGGCCTTCATCCAGCAGTGAATTGACGTGACAAAGGTTTCACTTTAAAAAAATGTATTATACTTACTATTATTAATTGTAGGTTTAGAGCATTCCCCAGTATTGCTGGGCAGTGGATACTGGACACACCGCCGGTTTGGCCAATTTAAGGAGTTCTTTTGAAATAGTTTAATCATTCAAAGGTTTCAGTCTCGATGTTTATCCAATCTTGCCCTTTGAAATAATTACTATTACCTTGAACCTGTGCAGGGTTCAAGTAGTGTTTGAATGTCAAGTGATAAGGTTCACCTCACTGGGGATTTGTGCACGTTTCGTGGGTTGGGTGGGTCCAACACAAGGTGCAGCTGCATCGCAAGCGGGTGGGCCGATTGTTCCTACGCGCTGTGGCCAAATCGCAATGGGCTTTTGCAAAAACAACTCTAAATTTCCTCCCGCGGGGGTTGAGAGAACAAAAGCTTCCTTCCCTACGAGCGAACTCTATTAAGATTAATAGCGGCGCAGAAAGAGCCTAAACGAAATAAATCACGGGAATACTGATGGCCCTGAACCGTCTCCCGGTGACTGCCAAAGGGCACCCTTATTAGCGGCGAGGATTGGAATAATAAACACGCCAAGGTCAGGGGTCAACAGGTTGTGCTTACCTCACTCTGGAAATCGCAAGGATAATTCGCATTGTAAACGCTACGTGGGAGGGACGGGTTAGCTCGATAAAAAAAAATGTATTTAAAACTATTACTTTTTCAGACTTTTCGATCGTTTATATCATGCTCCAATTCAAAACGCCTACGTGCTAACTAGATTAATGTCACCCGATGCCACGTGAAACCAGAGGCAAAAAACTAGAGGCATGTAAGCAATGTCATGAAAGTTACGTTACTTCCTCAAACGGCATGTTTTTATTCGGATCAATCTGAAAACTACATAAATTGCCTGAAACTTCATATCAAGGCTTGATTTTTTTGTTTTTCACACGGAGTCATCTGCTAATTGGAAAGCCGTCCCTAAGGAGTGCATAGTAACTGCTAAGAGCTTTCGTCCACACAAGCAAGAAATGCGACGGGTGAATTGCGAAATTCCTCCGAGTCGTGCTCGCTAATTTATGAAGGGATTTGCCTCGGAGAAGGGCAGGTCTCCGAGGGACGGCTGGGCAATTTTTTTCCCCGAGAAAAACCGTGGGGAAAAAAATCGTAGATTCCCATCAATTCCTCCGATGCGATCGCACTGCAACTGCGGAACTATTTTCATGGGCACGGTGATAAAGACACGTTGTCATGCACACACCATCCCCAGATGGAAACAAAATAACAAACAGATCGGAATGAGACCGTTACAAATAGATGAAATGAACCACTGCTGCAATTCGCATTTCCAGCAAACGGCTTAAACCTCAACGAGTTTCCAAACCGCTTTGATTAGGAGCTGCTTCGCTGCACTTGACATGGCATCTTATTTTCAAATGGCTTTTGGCTCTCACGCAATGTCTTTTTTTTGCACGTTACTTTAAGGGAATCTTCACCGAACGGGATGAGCATGAGATGTCGGCATCTATATCCGGCGAGAAAATTAGGTAACTAACCAGGTGAGGAGCACAAACATGCAATGAAAACGGCAATATCTGGTGCCTTAGTACCATAACGAACGACGGTGACAACAATTGCATTACCGCGTACAATGCGGTGCTCTCCAATCACAATCATTCACGTCCTTGTCTCCCAATAAAATTGTTCTATTTTTCAACAAAGACACCTTACATTTATAGATATCCACATTTCCCGGTTTTTTATTATGCGGTATAGTATTTTTTTTTGCTCTCCTTTTCCCATGCGGGAAAATTTTGCAGCAAAATGTTGTGTTTGAGATGTTAAAACTTCAAGTCCTTCATGGAAATTCGGGCCACTTAAAATGGCACAATCACGGACCAGTGCCTAACGACACAAAGTCCACATCTTCAGCAGGAGACTCCACACAGGAAAAAACTATTTCTTCTGATTACAAATCTCGGCCATTTAAAAATAATAATTTAAATGTCACCCGTGACACTCTCCTCTCCTGTCCCGCCCCTGCCCCCCCCCCCCCCGGCATTCGGAAACACATTTTCTTGCTCGGCCATGGCTCAAAACATAATTACCTTTATATTGAGAATTGCAGCCAGGTGAGAGGTAACAAGGATGTAAAGAGGTTAAAAAAATATCTAAAGGTTAAGGTCAGCAGAAGTGGTAATACAACCCCACAACCAACCTCGAGGTGATCCAATGCATTGAAGAAATTTGATTCGATTCAGGAATCAATTGTTATTGTTTTCATATTATGAACAATGCAATGGCAGCCAGTGACTATAGGAGTCGGGCAAAGCCAATACAGTCCAGGCAACATTGAAGGTAAAAATAAAAATGTGCAACCCTGCGATTGCTCGCTGAAGCTAGCCAGACCTCTTCCAAACGGCCCGCTGGTCAACTCACTGCGGTGTTCACCCAGTCAGGCCCGCTGGTCAACTCACTGCGGTGTTCACCCAGTCAGGCCCGCTGGTCAACTCACTGAGGTATTCACCCAGTCAGGCCCGCTGGTCAACTCACTGCGGTGTTCACCCAGTCAGGCCCGCTGGTCAACTCACTGCGGTGTTCACCCAGTCAGGCCCGCTGGTCAACTCACTGCGGTGTTCACCCAGTTAGGCCCGCTGGTCAACTCACTGCGGTATTCACCCAGTCAGGCCCGCTGGTCAACTCACTGCGGTGTTCACCCAGTTAGGCCCGCTGGTCAACTCACTGCGGTATTCACCCAGTCAGGCCCACTGGTCAACTCACTGCGGTATTCACCCAGTCAGGCCCACTGGTCAACTCACTGCGGTATTCACCCAGTCAGGCCCACTGGTCAACTCACTGCGGTATTCACCCAGTCAGGCCCGCTGGTCAACTCACTGCGGTATTCACCCAGTCAGGCCCACTGGTCAACTCACTGCGGTGTTCACCCAGTTAGGCCCACTGGTCAACTCACTGCGGTATTCACCCAGTCAGGCCCACTGGTCAACTCACTGCGGTATTCACCCAGTCAGGCCCACTGGTCAACTCACTGCGGTATTCACCCAGTCAGGCCCACTGGTCAACTCACTGCGGTGTTCACCCAGTTAGGCCCGCTGGTCAACTCACTGCGGTGTTCACCCAGTCAGGCCCGCTGGTCAACTCACTGCGGTGTTCACCCAGTCAGGCCCGCTGGTCAACTCACTGCGGTGTTCACCCAGTCAGGCCCGCTGGTCAACTCACTGAGGTGTTCACCCAGTTAGGCCCGCTGGTATTCACCCAATTACACTGCTGGATTGGTGGACGGGGGCACGGGGGATTTCTGAACTCATTTTCCAATCGTTTCAACTGCCGCGCCGGGAAATCGAACCGACCCAGTGACCTCTGAATTGCCAAGTTGAGCGTGCTGACCGTCACACCGCTGTGGTAGCAGCATCCGTTACAGTCTTCCCTCGTTATTCACCAACTTGCTATCCACGATTTTGGGTACGTGTGAAGAACATCTGGATCTCGACACGGCTGCATGGAGAGAGAGAGAGAGGCAAAGTGATGAGATATATAATAATGAGATCAGGTGAGTTCATCCTTTTAGCACAGTTGGCAACGTACCGTGCAACATAACTTCAACATAAGGTACATAAATGACCAAATATAATTTAATATTTTAACATTAATGTTTATTTACTTTGTTTATTATAATCAATTGCTAAGCACGAGCGTCTCTGGGACGTATCCCTCGCGAATAACTTGACAACATTTTGAATGAACCAAAACCAATTCTTACGAACACCACTCGATGCTAGAAATCGACATGTATAGATATATGAATCTATGACTCATCATTATACATCCCCCGGTCAGTTGGCTCAGGGAGTCACGAGAAGCCATCGCATACAAAATGTACCCAATTGAAAAACATCGATTCTCACACTTGCGATTCCGTGCGGGTATCGTGAGCTTAAGAATCAATATTAGTCAATTAATGGATGCCGACATGACACCCTCGCTAGTCGCAGTAGGTGAAAGAGACAAGGAACACGCGTACTCGAACCCGCTGCAAGTGAGCAGCCGATCGAAAATCAATTTTTAACGGTGTGTGGACATTCTGATTGGCAAGTCCAATTACGAAAATTAACAACTCCAGGTTAATTTGACCGCCTTAACTAGGCATCAAACCCATGTCCAACACCTCCGCAGGACCAACATCGCAGTACGGCACAAGCACAACATAACACTTACAGGTATATGTACACAACTGACCGATTTACGAGCGTAATTGAACTTTTTTTTACACAAACTCCGATTAAAAGAAATGGGGTGCTCATTTGCCCGCGGCTTCCCGGGGTGCATTTCTCCACGAGGTTTCGCCGCGCGTCCGGGAGCGCTGCCAGACAACGGATGCCGCCGCCGGGCCCCAGGGACTTGCCCCATATGATATTTGCGGCTCTGCGTGGGAGAGCGTCAGAGAGCACGGGGCCTGGGAGCAGATGCTGCTCTGGCGCGACCTTGCCGCTCGCGAAGATCGCGATGGGAATAAACTGTGACGGCTGCGGAGCTAGCGGTTTGCGTTATGAAAAACAAGAATAAAAATAAGAATAGGTTTGACTGAGCTCAAAATGCTCCGCTAGCTGCATTGTCATTGTGCTGTTCTCCTCGTGGCGTTCTCTGGTGCGACACTGGTGAGACGAGGCTGTCGGAACGAGGCTGGCTCCGGTATAGGCCAAACCGTTTCAAAGACAATGCATACATATATCAGAGCATGTTTGTTTGCATGCCCACCACAAGTACCTGGGGTTATTGCAGACTTGACTCGTTGCAAAAGGTCTTTATTTGGCATCGTCGTCATGCATCTCGTAAACACCGAGGAGCCACAGGCGAGATGGAAGGCAGCCTGGCGGTTGTCGTCCTCTCTATATTAAAGACGTTTCTGGCCAATTAATGAGTGATGAAGCATTATTACGCTTTGCTTATCCTGGAAAGCCTCGCCGCGTCTCAAGACTCTTGTCAGGAAGGTCTTGCCAAATTATTCACAGTAGGGGGGTTGGGGTGGGGGGCGATGTTGTATTTGTGTAATCCTAATTGAGTATACTTGCAGGTACTTTTTCGGCACGGCGATGCTTTGGCCAACGCCAGCTCCAATGGTTTTGTTTTCTCTATCGACGGGAGGGGACCAGAGCGCCCACATGGAGCCCACGCAGAATAAGGCGAGAACGGAGCAACGCCGCACAGGAAAGCACCCGAGTTAGGAATCGAACCCAGGTTAATGTTTTCTGTGAAGTGCCAGTGTTACCACCACGCCACCACCCTGCCAGCCTTCTAATGGGGCACCTCAATCCAGTCGCAGCGAATACAGAAAGAGAGGTCTACAACTTTGTTGTATTTTTTGGAGAAAAGTGGCAATTTGTGCTCTTAATTCCCACGTCAAATTCAGGGCAGGGACTGCCAGACGTGGTGACACGCTCCAGCACCGACTGCATGCCCATCGCCCTGGTTCATCCTCATCGCCACCACCACCATCACCATTTGCTTTACATTTTCAAACTAAGGTCGAATGTGTGAATGCATCAGCTCCGTCCATCCATTACCACAACTTTCGTGTGGATGATCCAAAGTGAACGAAACGTTGGTATGAAGTTTGTGTCGCGACAATTTGACTCGCCCGATTGTAAACCGGCCAAATGTATTTAAAAAGAAAACTTGAGAGACACAAACAGGAGCGTAAATTACCGCTGTTTAGACTGCCGCTTGAAGACCTTTGAGGACAAACGTACGTTGAAACGCGTCGCATAGTCCGCAGCTTGTAAATCTTTAAAAGGAGAGCGAGCTTACGCTACTACGTTGATTTCCGATGTGCTTTTGGGCCGCGTGTTATGCAACGTGATGTCCGACGTTTCTCTGCATTTGCCGGGTGTTCATATGGTTTGAGTCCTTCGGTAAAGTCACGTAGATATGTCCTGATGACGACCGCTTGTGTTGCGATCGAAACGTCGCAGTTGTTTGTTATTTTCTTTGAACCTATCTACGTGACTTCACCGAAAGACCCAAAGAATATGAATTGCTTCAGTGACGAAAACTTTAAGTCGAGATTTGCCGCGTGCTTCTTCAAGAGCCCGTGGAGCTCCTGCAGCTTCCAGCACGTGCAGCGAAACTTCGAACATCATGCTGCTGTACAACACGTGGTCACGTGCTCCCAGTGGTAGCGCGTTTGCCGCTTGTTGCAGAGGTTTGTGGTTCTAACGGGGCAGCTGCCTTGGTTACGACTGCGGCGTGTGTATAAGCCGTACAAATGCTATGCGCCGTCTACTTCGATTACAGTCGATAATGATCCCCTGACATGATTCGCAAGAGTAGCACCATCGTGTGCCACCGGCATTATGCTCCAAATTTAAAAAATACGAAAGATTACACCGCAAATTACTCAAATGAGACTCCACACACACAAACACAGCGACGTGGCCCCCCTACTGGCAGACGAATGCCCGCCTGAAGGCCACCTGCCGTGTCACCTTGTGCCACGCAGGGACAGCTTCTTCCGCTCGGGGGGTGCACTCCGAGCGCGTCGAGGCGAGATGCGACGCCGCGAGTCGCCGCATCTCGCCACGTGTCGGAGCGATGCGAGCCGCCGCCCACCCCTCGGCCGTGGAGGAGGGGGCTTAGCACGGCTGCAGCGCGTGCCAGCGGGCGAGCGGCCGGCCTGCCGCGTCCCCGCCGGCGCGCGCCTCCTGCCAGTGCTGGCGGGCGCGTGGGGACGCGGCGGCGGCGCCCAGGACGACGCGGCCCAGCGGCGACGGCCCCGCTCCGGCGGCTGTGGCGGAGTCGGAGTCGCCCTCCTCCTCCCCCGCCTCCTCCTCCTCCCCCGCCTCCTCCTCTTCCTCCTCGTCGCCGGCTCCCGCGTGCACGACGACGAGCAGCTCGAGGCTGGTGGCGCCGCCGCCGCCGCCGCCCGGCGCCACCTCGAAGGACTCGTTGAAGAGGGCTCCGGAGGAGGCCCGGCGCACGCGGGTCTTGCGCTTGAGCACGCGCTCGCTCCCGGCGAAGGCGCTCACCTTCACGCACGCCGCGCCTGCACCGCACCGCAGCCTCCGTTGAAGGGGGGGAGAAGGGCAAAGGCGCAGCCCTGCGATTGCCTGCGGACGATGCTGCTGGTGCAAGGGCGTCCACCAGAGCGGAGCCCTGCAGGATATTTGGCCACACGTTCGACAAGAGGCAGGAGTACCCACACGCACCCTTTATAAAGGGGGGAGCATACAAACACCCAGTGGAGGACAGGACACAGTCTTGGACAAGCTCGAAACGACACGGCCAGTCTTCTAAGTCTCTAAAGGAACGCTCAAGTGAAAGAGCAGCGATGCGATCTGCTGGTGTTTGTCGTGCATTCTGCTCTGGCGCTCGTGTCTATGAGCAAAGGCTGCACCGGCATTGTTTGACTTGGCGACAGCAACTCAGAAATGAGGGACTAAGCCTTGAGCAGGAAGCGGGGGGCGGGGGGGGGGTCTGCCCCCTCCAGCCCCTTCCAGCCCCCTTCCCCAAAGCCACTTGGTTCTTGGTTGGAACCGCCACGCCTTTGCCGGTAGCTTTAGCTAATCGGGGTTAATTGACCGTTACGCAAAAAGTGAGGTTTTTAACGAATTGGAATTCGCAAGGCATGTTACCGTCGGAACATTATGACACGCAGTAGCAATTGCAGGGGAATGTTTAATGAGGATCGAGATTACTTGAAACATCCTCACAGCCAAAACTTAATTGGGAGCGCTAATTGGTTCCATTGGCTCCAGCCTTGCAGTCTTCTTCTGCGAGGTCTCGAAATTTGAATTCCGTGGCTGGTCTGGACAAGAATTGTATGCCCCTGGGAGACGACGCGAGCAGCTTTTACGCCGCTGATTGCTCGATCAAAAAAGAAATAACAATTTATGCTGGACTTTGTGAGTAGCTATGATTGCCCTGGAAGTCATGGTGATAGAAATATTTATGGCAAACCTTTTTGTTTGACTCTCACAGAAAAAAAAACCCTCCGGCTTACGAGACAATGATTCGTGCAAATCCAATTCCAGATTCAAGATTACCTGATTAATTCCGTGAAATAATTGTTTTGTTGTTTGAAATAATTAACTTGTTCAGACCACAGACCACACCGACACGCCACAGCACCACTTGTACGTGTGTGGGCGTCTGAATGCCAATGAGGCTCGAAACGCCGCGCACGGAACAAAGAGTGGGACGCACGCATCACGTGGGTGAGACCGGAGTGGTTCCGTTTGTCAAGCGAGGGGCACCATCGCAACACCTCGACAGGAGAAGGGGACAGCCACGGGCAGAGGAGATAACGGAGGTGGTGAAGCCTTTCTAAACATTCCACTCGAATTTATGTTTTACTTCACCAGTTAAACCTATACTCAGTTGTTTTTTTTTCGGTAAAGTCACGTATGTGGAAATAAAATATAAATAAAGAAAATAAAATTAGATTTAAATAAATCACGACGTTTCGAACGCAACACAAGCGCTCATCGGGTGGCATGGGGTAAAATACATAGCGAGGGCACACACAGAGGGACATCACGCACATAGCACATAGAGAACGCCAAACTGCACGGAGGCAAATACAGCAGGAAGATGGGAGACGCGAACTCAACAAACCTTAGAAACATCATGTGATGCAAACCAGTCGGCCAACGACACAGTTAGACACTAACCTGGTTGACCACGTATTTCAAAAGACTGCTAAATCTTTTGTTCACATCCTCTGGGCTGAACATACCAACGTAAGTAGAGGACACGGACTCGTGAACAGACACGTGGTACAAGAGCTACATACACAGAGAAGACACACAGGGAGAGATGTTTTGAGCAGCACAGAGGGGCAACCAGAGCAACACCACACCAAGAGACGTGCACACATGGAGAGGCACACGCAGACAGACGCCTGGAGGAATAACGTAATGTATCGGATTGTAAAGGTGGAGGAGGGGAGGGGGGGGGCGGAGAGGGCAACAGAGGAAACAGAGGAAACATGGGTAAACGACGACGGAGGGATGACATAGGAAAAAGCGAAAACACAGACCACGGTAAACAAAACACCGAAGCAAAATAGCAACAAGTAGAGATACATACGTAGAGAAGACAACACAGGGAAAGATGTTTTGGACAGAATTGTAAAGGTACCTCCTCGTAGAGGTGAATTAATCTAGAATTGAAGCTTTTGTGATTGCAGAAATTACTATACTCGTTTTTTTCGGTAAAGTCACGTATGTGGAAATAAAATATAAATCAAATAAAATTAGATTAAAATAACGCAACACAAGCGCTCATCATCATGTGTAATTGGGGTAAAGCACACTGGCAAGGGCACACACAAACCTTACTGAGCTATGTCGCTCTTTCTCAGAAGTGACCCGGCCACAAAGAAGAGCTCGTCGGAGTGCCTTCGCATCATGGACACTTACAGCAACAAATAGACTCATCGTCCTCATCAACCACACTCGATCCGCAGCTGAACGAAGGCCTCCCCAAAGCCACGACCACCTACCGCCATCTTGCGATGTAACAATTTACCCAGGTGCCTGAGCACGACCTGATTTCGTCCGTAATAAAGGTTGTTTGTTTGTTTATATAGTGTAAATATAGATGTGTCGGTAAACCCACCACTAGTTACTGGTTCAGCACACCGGTGTGTTGGAGGGTAAATCCACGACATGCAAAATGGGGGCACGACAATGGGGGCAGGACAATGTGTCACACTGATGTCGTCGCTCCGTCTGCTCAGCGGAGGCATTCCAGAACACATTCCACTCCCTTGGATTGCCGCCACTCGCTCATTAATCTTGACCGTTGGCCATCGTGCCGTCGAGCCGTGCCACATCCTGCCCAAGCCCACCTTGGGCTTTCTTCAGTTAAAAGTGATCGCGTTCACCTCTCCATGCGCAAAGAAGCGTGGAGGGATGCACACTTGGAATTATGGATCAGATACATTGCACTATATACATCACATCACAGTTTCCGTTAACTTGCCTATTAATGAGTATATATGCCAGGAGTGATTGTTTTTTTCAACAGATGCGAAATATAGTTGCAGTCTACTCATGCTGTCATTATGCCAAAGCCAATTATTTACCTCCCCACATCGCCCCCTATGAACGCGCACACGCACACACGCGCACACATGCACACACACATACACACACACACGCGCGCACACAAAGAAAACAAAGATCCCCCATATAGCCTTAACAGACTGTAGGGGTAAGTGCTGTTAGCGAGCACCTATGAAGGCCGGAACGGTACACGAGAGGGTGGGTGGCCAGCACCACACCCGACCGTCTTTGTCTCCCTTAGTGGCAATGTTTACACACTGCACCAGGTACTTATTTGAGGCTGAGTCGCACACACGCACACACACACGCGCACACACACGCGCACACACACACGCGCGCACACACACACACGCGCACACACCCACACGCACACACACGCGCACACACACACACACACACGCGCACACACACACACGCACACGCGCACACACACACACGCGCACACACCCACACGCACACACACGCGCACACACATGCGCACACACACACGCACACACACACGCGCACACACACACACGCGCACATACACACACACGCGCACACGCACACACGCGCGCACACACACATACACACACGCTGCTCCGTGCAGCTCACTTCTGCTCGTTTCTTCTTTCTCTCTTCTCCGTCTCTTCCTCCCCTCTCATCATCACTGCCACCCTCACATCATCCCCGACATCTTGGCCCAGTCACCACCCTCCCCACCGCCCCTTCCTGTTCCTATCATTTACACTCCTGCAGTGTTGTTGTTTTGTGTAACTCTCTGACCCGCCCCTACTGAACTGCTTTTTTTAGAACTGCTAGTTGTGTTTAGTTTGTTGTCCTACCCCAGCGCACCTGCGATTAGCTCGGTTGGCTACGTACGGTGCGAAAGAAGTTCAACATGTAGAGAGACATGTTAGACATCTGTGACAAAGAGCTTCACAGCTCATCGGATTTCCCCAAGATATAAAGATTCTGACTGCTGCTCGTCTCGAACCGTGCCCTCCTCTTTGTCCGCCTCGGGGACTTCCTTCCCAGCCTAACTTCACTCTCCCCCTAATCTTGCTGCCCCGTGCCTGCTGCCCTTTAAACACAGATCCTGGAGCAGTAGATTCGTGCTGGATACAGTCACACTTGCAAATGTGTTTTGTAACGTTGACCATTACCTGCTCGTCGATTGTTCAATGTCAATGTGCCATTGTATTGAGGGCTACTGCTGTGTGGCGCTGTCTTGGTGTGGTCTGCAACTGTGTTGTGCTTTCTGCTGCCTTGTCTAATGTCGATAAGTCAGACTTCGATAACTCACTAATTAATACATTAATTATATTGTACCACTTGCTTACCCTGTTTCTCCATGTCGCACTGCTGTCGTGTTTGTGTTTTGTTTGTTGTTGTAACTTGCCGACACGCCCGCACTGGGCATCAATTAAAAAGAGCTTCATAGCTTATTGGATTCCTTCCCCAGTTATAAATAAATATTCTGACTCTTTTGCGGAATTGACTCGACTCCCGGTCCCATCGTGTGCCACAAGCACAAAGCTTCAGAGCGCTCAATACGGCGTTTGAGGTTTGTGCTTTCATCCCATAGTGGGGAAACGCAGCCGTTATTATCATTCACGCCACGTCCGTGCTCAATTATCGTTTCTAACTGAGGTTTAACTTTTACTCTATAAGTAAATTAACATAATTCAAACGTAACTTGTCTGTTTGGACAAATCACGTTTACGAAAATTTAAAACGACCGTAAGAGACTCTCTCTTCCACAATACAGGTCGTTGTCAGGGGTTAGATCACATGAATATATAAATATGCGATCTAACCTCGTAGATATTCATGTATATTTATATAAATATACATTTACGCGATATAACCCCAAAAAAACCTGTATTATGGATGATATTGGTCGTGAAAGCCTACGTGTTAAACTTATACTCTCTTCAATCTTGATTTGTTTTATCCGTGCAGATGATGGTACTTTATTGCATATTTACTTTTTCGTTCTTTGGAATTGTTGCATTTTTGCGTTAATTGTGTATTTGTCTGAATTTGTGATCCAAGCCTCCCTTGAAAAATATTTTAAAAAACACGTGAAGCTCATTGGGCTCTTAGGGTCATCATCGTTATCATCGTCAGCTCCGATCATCGTCAACCCTTCTGGATGAAGGCCTCCCCACACTGTCACCACCCATCTGCCTCCAGCACTTCAGAGCTCCATCTCCGCCGGGAACGCCCTGTTGGGTGTGTTCTCACCAGCCACGTTGGTCAGCCGCATTCCCGTCTATGGATCTGTGCTGCCCAAGTCCACCGACTTCCCTTTGCAGCCGTTGCGATCTCTGACCTGACTTGGTTCTCTGCTGCGTGTGTCCCTCTGTGCGTCTCCCTGAATAGGTCCAGGCACATATCGCTCCACGCTTCCCCGCCATACATTTCTGCTCTTGTTCCATTTTCTGTCAGAGTCTATGCATCTGACACGTGTCGATGAGCTCACACTTGGTCATTAATAAATATTTGAACCCTTTCCCATTCCGATGACGTACGTGTACGTCCTAAATTTGTCTTCGGATACCATTCAGATGATGTACGTGTGCGTTATTGTTAAGGAGCCGGAAGAAAAACCAAAATAAAATAACTTTATCGGTACCGAGGCTCCCACGAGGCCATGTAGGAGGGCATGTGGCACAGTTTGGCGAGAGCTATCATAGAATGCGGTCATGTCACTACGGTTCTCTGAGGTTAGTACAACGTCTTTCAAAGCAACGGCGCGCTCTAAATGGAATTAATGTTAACAGCTTGCACGTTCTGAGAGTCAGAGGGACCCATCCTGCAACTTGCAGACGTCTCGGAACAGGAAAGGGTTAATACTGGTAGGAACCTGCTGGTTACACCAGCCCACAGGGGATTATTGGGTTAATTTGGTGGCAGAGTGGTCCAGAGGTAACACTCGTGCCCCACAGCAACAAGCACCTGGGTTCCATTCCTGACTCGGGTGCTCTTCTGTGGCGGCTTCGTGCGTTCTCCCCCTTTGCCGCATGGAGTTTCTCTGGCTTCTCTGGTTTTGTCCCATAGCTAAAAAAAACATCAAATGTAACTGGTGTTGACCAGCCATTCCAATACTTACAAAACAACCTTTCAAATGACTCCATTTGGACTACACAGCAACATCGAACGCTGCCCCCCCCCCCCCCCCCCCGTGAATAACTTGGCAGGACTCATTGAGGCTTGCCTGGGCAAACAATGGAATACATGATAATAATAATCACGCCTTGAGTTGTACCCTCAAGAATCCAGCACTCATTCATACGCACACAGACGCTGCAGATACACGAACAAAAACACAGAGAGACTGCAGGGACGCATCTGAGAGCAGCAGTGTGGGACAATCCACTTTGCCCTCCCCTACATACCGAGCGACGAGCCAGTGTCCCTCTTGGGGAGACCCCGGGCCTTCAAGATGACCACGGTCAGGCGGCTGTCGGCCTGCGTGAAACTCAGAGAGACCAAAAGCTCTCCAACCCCGGCAGGTTTCTGCAAGAACAAGATAACATGAATAACATTAACAATAATAATAATAATAAAGATAAAAGCATAATATCCCACACAACCGCGACACATAACGTGGTAACTTAACACGGAGGTGTTCACAGCCCATGTAATCCACACCTCCGATTAGCACAGTTGGCTGCGTACTGTGCGAAAGAAGTTCAACATACATACATTCTGACTTCCTGGATTTTATTTGTGATATTCCTGGAATTTCTGAGTTGATCTTACCGAGGAATGGCTCATTGAATCTCAACAATCCTTTGTCAGGGCGGTCCTGCCTCTCATCTTAGTTTTGTTTAATTTCGTGTAACCCAAGGAGAACTCAAGAGACCAGGATATGAGCTCACTTTGCAAGAGTGATCTGGGTCACTGAAATGACCAAAAGTGATATCACGAACATGAGCACTGCGACGACGACGAGGAGAATAGGAACCGGAGCAAAAAGCAACCACGTAAGGAAGAAGTGAACAACAGGGCACGAACACAAATCAATATTCAATTAAATACATTTATATTATCGAAAGTTAGCTTGGAAAAAATAATTCCGTAATAATTAATCCAATAGAAAATTGTGTTACGTTAACATAAAAATGCTTTAGGGTTATTATTGATGGAGAAAATTGATGTGAGTTCAAGTGAAAGGTCGCGAATCTAATTGCTGCTAAAATCTGGTTTTGAGAACTTACCAGTGAACGAGCCGAAACGATCTTAATGGGCCCGATAAGCACCCGTGCATGTGACAATTTAATTTTTTTGGCTGTGCTGGGTGGTGGAGGGCCTTACAACAGAATATTAGTCAGATCACTTTGTGGCCTAACCCAAACATCAATTAAGAATTACGTAACGTGTTGTAAAATTATTAATGTACACCCATTAATTTACACGTAACAAAGGTCAAAAGGTGCAGCGCTGCAATTCTGTGCTCACGCCACCGCTGGCAGAAGGGGCCCCTGTTAGAGAGAATTCTAGAGTGCCTTTCTGGAGGGTGTTCACCAAACGTCTAAACTGTGGTTAGGAGTAATCACACTGAACCGTACCACACGCGATGGACTGTGGAGCACCCAATTCAACTGCTGGATGGACAGAAGCAGAAGGATTTCTTCAAGTTTCTATTTCAAAAATAATATTTAAAAAAAGAAGTTTCCTATGAAAGATGGAATCGAACCAGCGACCTCTTGAAACAGCAGGGCCAGCGCGCTAACCATTACACCATGGCATCATCAATTTGCATATATCTATGTGTGTGTACATACACATATATATGTGTGTATGTACACATACATGCCTTACCGCGATGTGAAAATTAAATGTATCTGTTTTTGAATCTTTCTTTGGAAACTTGCTGATATAAAAATACATTTTCTACTCATGGTTATTTAAAGTACGATTAATGTTTCATGCACAGTGCAGACGGAGACGTGACATTTTGATGTGTAGGTCGCAGTTCATGAAATTTAATAACAGCCAATCTTTCATTTGATAGTCATATTGTAGTTTTTTTTCTATTCTCTCACACATTCAACTGCCAGGACAAAAGTCGCCCGCCACAGGGACTGACTTTGTAGTCAGGCGCCGACTGACAAATAAAACGCAAAGCTTTTTTATCACACGTATTCCTCAACCCTGATTGTCAAGGCACCTGTAATCCACATTTAAAGGGTGCTGACGAAGGTGAGCGCCTATGTGGAAGTGGGTGGTGGGTGCGCTGGGGGCTGAACATATCTCTGCTGCCTCCATGGATATTGGCAATATCTCTTAAAGGAGGGGAGGAGGAATGAAGGATTTACAGCCATAGCAGGGGGTTCACTAATATCGTAGAGAAGGTCAGGCAGGCGACACTCCGATGGTTTTGGCACGCGTTGAGAAGAGACAAAGACGATGTGATGAGAAGGGATTCCGGACATGCCACCGGTGCAGGTGCAGAGTTAGGGCCGTGGTCCCCACGCTTCACCGTCGTGGTCAGTCCGATTTAGTGAAGTGGGCAAAGAGTGGGATCAGTTCAGATGTCACCCCACCTACTGGACATCTTTGAAAAAGAGCTTTATAGCTCATCAGATTACTCCAGTATAAACATTCTTATTCTGATTCACGGATGTTATCCGTGGCGGGGAATAGAACTCGGGTCACAGGGTTCAGAGCGCTGCGTGAAAACTACTGTACAATCAGTTCTTTTAAAAGTACGTCTAAAATAACATTACGTGTAAAATAAAATTACGTGTAAAATATTGTTTGCACGATGTGAACATAGAATGTAACGTTTGAAGTGTAAATGTGACGAGAATGAGCACAATGATTGCCTTAGTCGTGACCAAACGTTCAAGTTGTTTGAAAAATTAAGCAAAAGCATGCTAAGGTTAGAAATGTACATCACAGGCATATGTTATGTACATGGACAGGTGGCTGTGGCACGTGCTGGTAAGCGATAAAGGGGAGGCAATGAGAATGGCTCTGGAGCTGCCGCTGGTGCGGGGCAGGAGGAGTGGACCAATGGCTCCCATCACGTGGTGCCGAGGCCACTGGTGTTGGTCTCCACAGGCCCGTGGGAAGTGGTAGCGGAACTGTTGGGGACACTGATTTTCTTTTACCACAAAACACAGTGTTCTTTTTACCATTGCGTGACTATTTAAATTGGTTAATAAAGAGCAAGTCACCTATTATATACTGTTTCTGTTAAAGCCACACTCGGCATTATTATTGACGAGTGCGTTTGATTTTTTATTCATTGTGCTTGTGTACTAATGCCAACAGCAGCAGAAGCAGCATCGCCGGATAATTTGCTTAACCGTGCAGCCATGAGGCCTCTGGGTCGAGGGAAGAACGGTTAGGAGTGGGCGGTAGGTAGCGCGTACACACCTGGGGTGCCCGGACTGCCTCCAGCATATTCATGTATTTTTTATCCGATGCTTTACATTTTTTATGCTGTACTGTTTTGTGGCAGTGAGCTGAAAAAGTACAGAAAAAAATTGCAGCTCTATTTCTTGCAAAGCGGCTGCTCGTTCCGAGAAAAAATTGTGTTTTATTTATAAATTCAAACATAATAAATTCCAGTTATTCTCCATCTACCAATAAATTAAGGTCTCGTGGTGTTTTTTTCAACCATACTTCACCACGCTCGTCAGCTCGAGTTGATGAAGGGGCGTAGGAGAGGGCAAAATCTGTGGGAAAAAAACTTCATAGTTCATCGCATTTCTCCAGGATAAATACATATTCTGATTCTGGATCGGTTCTGATGGAACTCGCCACCGACATGAGCCGTGACCGGGAATCGAACTCGGGTCACAGGGTACGTGGCGCGTGCGGTAATCGCCCCGCGGGACAATGATGTATCGTTTGTGTGTGTGCGCACAACTGCAGTTTGCGGGCTTCGAGCGCAGACCGTAGGCACTGTGTGAACGGGAAACAGGACAGGAAATACTTCAGCGATTTTCCATTGTCGTGACTCCACATTTGAATTGTCTGAAATGTGCATCGCAAAGCAAAAAAACACGAGAAGAAGGGCACAAGGGGTGGATTTACTCGGCGCTTTCACAAATCCGATTCTCGGACAGTGTGAGTGAACTAGGGTCATAAAAAACACACTTTGCGGGCGGGTGGCCCACAGTGCTGCTTGCTCTGCCAGAGCCAACACGAGTGCCACCCCACTGTGATCCCATCCATTCAAGGTAGGGTGCGACTTGGATTTATTTCCAGTTGATTTTCTTGAGCCGGGTGAGGACTCAAGAGGCCATGATAGGCGTCTCGTTTTGAAAGAGAGGTCTGGGTCTCGCCAACGCGGCCAGAGCAAACCAAATCCAATTCACGGCAATGAAGCCAACAGAACCCTGCACAAAAAGAACCGCGTCAACACCAAGGAGATCTTAAGATGGTGCTTGAACATAGATCAGCGTTAAACAATACAATTCCCTGCAGCGTCACTCGTTTGTATATAGCTCAGCAGGCCTTACCTGCTAAATAAAAAATAGTTTATAGTTTAAAATAGTGTACAGTTTTTCGAAGGCAACTTGCGCGTTGACGTGACCGCAGCTACGGAGCGTCGCAATGCTGCTGTGTAAGTCGGCGCGTTGGGCCGGGGATCCAGAGGTCGCCGGTTCAATTCAGTCTCCCGGCGTGGCGGTCGAAAAACGGTGCTTCTCAAATCACTCCACGCCACCGCCTCTGTCCAATAACCAGTGTGGGGAAAAGGCGAAAGCACCCTCTGGAGAGGCTCTCTCTCGTGGAAGCCCCTTCTGTCAGCGGGGGCAGTGCGGCCCTGCAATTGCTTGCTCACTATAAAAACCGGCCCCGCCGAATCTGACGGCGCTTGGTGGGGGCAGTGACCTATGGGCAACAGCGGGGAGTCGATATGAACTACCGGACATCTGTGAAAACTGCTGGACCATTTGTGAAAACGAGCTTCATAGCTCATCGGATTTCTCCAGGCTAAATAAAGATTCGGATTCCGAACTGCACTCGACTCCACTTGCGCGGCCGTTTCGTCACCTGCATCCCACGTGGGACGATGTGGCGACAGAAGGCGACCGCCTCGGGCCCCGCGGCGATGCCTGCCAGCGGCACGGTCACCTCCCCGATCACCTCCTCGCGGGACAAGCGCCCGAAGCTGAGCACGGCGAATGTGATCTCGGAGCCCTCCATCTGCACGGCGCTCAGGCCGTAGAAGGCGAACGTCTCGTCGAACACCGGGTCCCGAGTGCCACGCAGCACCCGCGTCTGCCCCCTGTAGCGCCGCTCGGGGAGGATCAGCAGCTTTACGCATGGGTCGGTGGCGGCGGCGGTGGCGGCCAGATCGTCGGCCGGAGGCAAGCCCCGTGCCTCCTGGACGTGGACGAGAAGCGCTTCCTTCCTTTCGTCGCGCCGGAGCGAGAAGGACAGCGTCCCCAGTTCCGGCGCCTCGAGCGGAGCGCCGACCGCCTTCGCCGGGACGGCGCCACCCTCCAGCCGCGTCGGCGGCTTGAGGGTGACGAGCGGGTGGCGGCGCTCGCCCAGCGTCTCGGGGTAGATGTGGGCGCTCTTGAGCATGTGCACGAAGCGGTAGGGGGTGCGGGAGCGAGCGCCCATGGAGGACGAGGAGAAGGAGCGCTGCGGCGGTGGCGGCGCGCGTTGGCAGCACACCCACACGAAGGCAGTGAGCGACAGCACCAGCACCAGGGCCAGCACGCCAAGCACCCCGAAGAGCACAGAGGGGGTGTCGGCTGCACGCGGGCCCAGGGGGGCGGTGGGCACAGAGGGGTGGGCACGGGAGGAGGTGGGCACGGGATGTGGTGGGTACGGGAGGCGGTGGGCACAGAGGGGTGGGCACGGGATGGGGTGGGCACGGGAGGTGATGGCCACAGAGGGGTGGGCACAGAGGGGTGGGCACAGAGGGGTGGGCACAGAGGGGTGGGCACGGGAGGCGGTGGCCACGGGAGGCGGTGGGCACGGGATGGGGTGGGCACAGAGGGGTGGGGTGGGCACAGAGGGGTGGGGTGGTGTGCAGTTGCTGGGTGTTAAATAAGCAAAGGCAGAAAGCTCACGGGGGGCAGCAAAGTATCCCGAGGGCTCACCCGACTCCAAGAGAAATAGTGCAGCAAGTTGTGGTCTCAAATTCAAATCCCAATTAAGATATATATAATTAACATACATTGTAATAAACAAACACCCAAGCTATGTAATCTCTCTCATTCTCATCTTGTGTGTGGCTCTCTTCACTCTCATCCCTACATCTGTCTCTCTCTCTTGCCCGCATCTCTCACACCTGACTACTTCTCTGGTTCATCCGTTTCGGTCTTCTCTTATCTCAAGACTCTTTCGCACACATGTACTGTATGTATGTTGAACTTCTTTCGAATCAAACGTTGCCAACCGTGCTAATCGAATGTGCGGGGGAAGAACAACAAACTAAACACAAAAGCAGTTCTAAAGAAATTAGTTTTCAATCTAGATGATTTAAAAGACATCTCGCTTCATCTCCATTTCTTGTCAATATCTCTTCTGCCATCGCACCGGGAGTTTATCAAAATTGGGTTGGGGGGGGGGAGGTAGGGAGGGGTTCTCAAAAATAATCTCTGCTTCGGGTCCCCAATGGGCAGAACCCCCAACTGATTTATTGGTAAAAGAGACAGAATAGAATAACAATGTTTACTGGGGCACCAATCATCCATTAGAAATCCACAAACATTCCTCCCGCCTGCTCGTAATTGATATTGAAATTAAAAATAACAAAAAGATCGTAAATAAATCAATCTTCTTCGCTTCTACTTTGTACTTTTTTTTCGTATCCAATTTAACGTTTTGAAGTGTCACCCGGGGCTGGTAAATATTATTGTGGCTCATTAAGTAAAGATGCGGAGAGAAGGGAGGGGGGTAGATCCATTACGCGAAGCATCTGCAAATAATGCAAAATCATTAATCAAGTCTCACGTCACACAACGCAAGGCGCTATCAACATTCCACACGGCTGCGTGCTCAGGCGGCAGAGAGAAACGGCTCACAAACGGAAGGTTGCAAGTTCAAATCCGGGATGGGTCGGGTTTACGCAGCCCACCCCGGTAAATGTGGAACGTTGTTCCGACGTTGGTCCAATGGTTCTCAACACAGGTTTGGCTTCTTTAGATTTCCACGTGATAAGCCACTTCTTTGAGACATTACAAATAAATGTAAATTATTATTACCATTTGAGGCCAGGTCGCTTCTGAAAAAGAGCGACGTCGCTCAGTGGGCCTTACCCGGTAAAGTAAAAACAAATGATTGTATAAATAATAAAATAAAAACAAATTGTATAAACAATAATACAACTGGGATCATCCCTCCGGGGTCCAGGTCTGCAGCGGTTGTCGTATGACTATACTCGCTCCCGCCATAGGAATGTCGAATTTACACCACTGACTGTCAACAGGAGATGAACACCAATGGCTCAATTGAGCAGGAGGTCACTGTGACTATAGAATATATAATCTCCTATTGTATGTTTTCTACCAAGCGTTCACACAGATACACTTTCATAAATATGTGTTGGCAAAATCTAAATGCGCGAGGCGAGTTGTCTGTGAGAGATAAGGAAAGGAAAATGAACTGCAACAAGAACAAAAAACCTCTTGGTTATGATTGTGAACTGTATTCATTACTCAGATGCAGGGATTTCACTGCCAGATGTCTCACGCCTGCCAGAGCCATGCCCGCTAATGGTTTCCCATCTAAGTTTGGCGATGGACGAGCGGCTGTCGAAGTAGCGCGGCACGCGCCCACGGCTCCGCGCGAGCGACACCGGCGCCTCGCACTCCTCTGTCGTCACGGCGACCAAGGGGTAGGGATCGAGTGGAGGAAACAGGAGTTTAGGGTTATAGTTCAGGTTAATGTTGTCAGTGATCAGCTTAGGGAATAATGGCTTAATTTTGATTGTGTGTGCGTTTACCTTGGCTCTTTAACCCCCCCTTCCTCCCCAAATGTTGTCTCCCCTGTTCCTGTCTGCGTCAGCCCGTGGGACTGTTGCGGAGGAGCTGTGTGTCAATCCGTGCAGAAGCGAGTGGCACTCAGAAGAAACGATGGTAGAACTACTTCTGAAATGTCTTCAAGTGATCTCTTCACCATACTTAGGGGGTGGAAACGTTTTCATCACACGGCAGTCAAGCTGCTATTTTTGTATTCTCAGTGCTGAAACTTAGCAATAACATGTACCGGACGCAATTGATGAGGAAGCGGGGGGGGGGGGGGTGTTTTTAGGTGGTGGTGCTGCCGATGGTGCCTGAGGCCATCAACTTGCCACACTGACGATGGCGACAATCACGGGCGGCAGCCTGGGTTCACATTCAGGATCTCAGCGGTGCTGACCCAGAGCTCTGACCTCTGAGCCAGCTCGCGACGTCCGGGATAGTGATGAGGTTAAGTAAAGACTTGGGCGAAGCATCGTTAGCGTCGGCAATGACGTTTTAGATGGAGGGTTATAGAAGCCAGGGATTGGGATTGACATTAATGAGCAGACCTTGCTGCGTGTTGTACCATCACAGAGTTTTGTGAATCTCTCAAACCCGCTTGAGTGCAGTGTGGCCAGGAGATGGCAGCACTGCAAAACGGGGTTCCCAACACGTTTATTCAGAGGCCTTCCTGTGAATCTCCTCGTTGGAGTGCGGTTTTTCCAGGTACCATGGTTTACTCCCACAGGCAGAACGACTCACAAATAACAGGGCTGGCCAAACATGCCAATTCAGGACCCTGCTGAAAAAAACAATCTTGAAACTGAATGCGGCTCTTCCTGTAGGGGCGGGTTTAGACATTTAAAACTAAAGCTATTTCTATTTTACGAGGTAAGGTCCACTGAGCTCTGTATTTCTTTTTCAGAAGCGACCTGGACACAAATGAGAGCTAACGAAGTGGCTTATCACGTGGACATCTATAGCAGCGAAATACTCTAAACGCGTGATGTTGATTCTAAAAAATTTGGAGGGAAAACCCGGAGGACCCGGAGAAAAATCCAAGCGACCACGAGGAGCGAGACAAGCAAACTCCAAATATACAGCAGGTCGGGATCGAACCCACGACCCCCTTTATACCAGGCGAGGTATTTAACATTTCACCACCGTGACACGGTCCAGAAATGTCAACCTTTTCAACTAGGGCGCTGTGTTAATAATAATAATAATAACAATGCAATCAATGTATTTTCGCTGATAACAAAAAAACGTGGTCTTACGGGGAAGGGGATATGATTACCCCCAAATCTAAATTTGTAATGCTAAATTGTGATGAGCTTATTTAGTTATTTACTTCAGATAAAATGTTAGAAATTGTTGGTGGTTAGTGTTGTTATTCTGGTTGGTGACCCACCAACAAAGTTACTCACCATGGTTGCCATTTATGGTTGTGGTGATATAACACGATAACAATTATAACGATTATAACACGATAACAATTATAACGATAATCATTTACAGCCCTTTGTCAATCCACTGCTCAATGAAGGCCTCACAGCGCCATGCAGGTCGTGCCTGGGTTATTTGACCATACTTCACCACACTGGGTCATTGCGGGTGTGTGAAGGTGGGTGGCGAATAGATGTAGGAGCATAGAAGTGCAGTGCAACAATTGACATTGCTTAACATGCCCGCTATGCGTGGTGGCCACCCTTCCACGCACTGTCTAGGCTCAAGTCTGCTTAGCTTCCGAGATGTTGACAGGATTAAGTGGAATCCGAGCAATTTGTTCTAAGGCCAATGATCATCATTCTGTATCCCCAGATGGACAGCGTGCAACAGCTCTATTGTCATGACACATCGTCACTTTGCTCTCATGCCAACCAGCAGCATCTGGTTCAACAAACAACCTCTGGACGACTCTCCACCTTTGGGGTCTCATCAGCAGTAAAGTCATGCCTGTTAAATATTTGTTGCTGGTTTGCCAGATATTGTTGGTACGCGCGCCGCATCTACACGGTGGGGTTCACCAGACAGAAGAGGTCAGCTATATAAAGCGCAGTATATATATACTTTAGCCTGCTGTCCAGCATGAATTGTTTCAGCAGTTCACAACATCGTAGCTGACGCATGTCGGCGGTCTTTGTTTTGAATGTTGCTCGTCTGATGGGGTAGAAGGGTAATTCAACAGTGCCTACCCCCGCCCCCCCCCCCCCCCCCCCCATGTACGAAGAAAACAGTTCCCACTGCTGTTGATGAAATGTTAACATTGGTGGAAGTTAATAAAATATATGAATCCTTTTTTTTAACTCAAAACAAAATTTGGGTCTGTCTGCAGATGGAACTGATATCTCATTGCGCTTCCCCGAGAGATAAATGGAACACCCGCGCCATCGAGATCGCGACTTTAATTAGATTTCGGTTTACCCTGTTTCTTCACGTCGATAATTTACACAATAAATAAGACGTCTGCAGCTCGAACATTACGACACCCGTGGCAACGCTGGGACAGTGCTGCCCCGCTGGTGTCATCTGTACACGGGCAGCACCCTGCGCTGGCGATCACGAGGTCGTCGGCATGGCAGTTGGAGTGACGGACAAGTTCCTTAAATCAGCCCGTCACCTCTGTTCAGCCAGGAGTATGAATAAGTAACAACCGCAGTTGGTTGATCGGCAAGTCACGTGTGGCGGTGGGGTAAAGTGTGGGTACGTCCCAATACCCACGAGAAAGGCTCTCTTGAGTTCCCCGCAGGGGAGGGAGATTTCGCCAACAGTGACGTGTGCAAGCAATTGTAGGGCTGCCACCATTGACTTGTTTTACTTTACGGAAGATCAACTGCAATGCTAATTCTTTTTTTAATAACAATTGGTGACCATCATCTACCAACCTGTAAACGAAATAAAAAATAATGAGCAGAAAATTCGTCTCCTTCACAAAGCCGCCTCTTTCCACAGACAAAAAAAATCTAACACAACCCATCAGGCACATGGCCTTCTTGGAGTGCATAATTACAGCAGCAATGTTTCAAGACCAGCAAAGTCTAGACGGGTTTCGACACACAGTGCCTCATCAGCAGAGTCAGGCTTGCTTGGTTTTACGACACGGGATCTCATCGCTTCTTGACAGAAGCGACGCAGGGTTTGAACCTCGTCAGTACTTGGATGGGAGACTGCATGTCAATTGCACCTGTTCATAGCCTTGGGCTTGCACGGTGGACATAATGTTGCAATGCAGCAAATGGATTTTTATTTCCCTCCGCGTGGAGCTTTCAGTGTCACCACCGACCTTGAGTCGTGGTTGTGTCCGGATTCTCCGGTTCCCTCCGATGCGAAGCCAAAGTCTAACGAACAACAGAACCGGACTAACATCCCAGCGTAGCACGACCCTCCTGAAAAGGTGTCTTGAGACTCACTATTAAATGCATCTGCATGGGGTGTTGGTCATGAAGACTGGAATAATCTCCAGTTAATATATCTTCAGGTGCATCCTTGCGGTGGATGTTGGCTGCTAACCATCGAACAAAGACGGCCACTGCATCACGCGCGTTCAGATGCGCTTCTGCGGCCGTATGGAATGCTCTTCTTTCTGATATTAGGAAGCCACTGGAGAAATGCACTTAGAAACCTCGATTTAAAACGAATTTATCTTGAACTATTTTTGTGTTTGGTTGTTGTCCTTCCACCGCACATCCAATTAGCACAGTTGGCTATGTAAGGCGTGAAATAAGTTCTACATACACACTTCACCGCCAGTATTCACTACGCATTCCTCTTGCACAAGGAGCTCGATGACACGATATGGAGTGTGTATTTTTGATACCGACTAATCATACGCATGATAGCAACAACTCTGGCGACAACAACAACCTTGCAGATAACCGCCTTCGACACGAGAAGGGTTGCAGACGCACTAATGCGTCTCCAACAACGGCGCTGGAAATTAAACCGTGCACATATTCTGTGGTCCTTCTGAGTCAATGCAGGATACATGCGGCTATCGACTTGCTTGCGGCCTACACACGAGACGCAACTTAAACAACGTTAACGTGGGAATGTTTCCAGATCACAACATATCCAGCCGCAGCTTTTGTATTATTCTATTTTAGCAGGTAAGGCACACTGAGCTGTATTGCTCTTTTTCATAAGCGACCTGGCCACAAACGATAACTCAACGAAGTGGCTTATCACGTGCGAATTTATAGTAGCCAAATACCCTAAAGTGTGATATCGATTCTAAATGTGGAGGAAAAAATCCACGCGACCACGGAGAGAAAGACACGCAAACTAAACTCCACATATACAGGGTGGGGATGGAACCCACGATCTCCTGTATACCAGGCGAGGTACTTAACATCTCGCCACCGTGACACCCAAACGGAGGTGGAGGCCCGTGCTGAGCTTGTGCCACTGTCGGCGGGAGGAGGCTTCGCTTCACCGCCAGTCGACGTCTCTCGCTCGCGGGAGCCTCGCCGTCCGTGCGCTGCCGCTCGGGACTCATCCCCTCGTTACTGCCCCGAGACTGGGAGGAGACTTCAACGCACGCAGAGCACCTGGGGGCAGGTGTTTCTCTTCTATTAATTATACCGGCATCAATTGCACGAGCAGTAAATCATTACACCCGAGCATGAGCCAGAATTAAATATTCGGAGTATTAAATACATATTATGGTCCCGATCGATGCACTTTGCGCTCGAGCGAGCGGGAGCGACTCTGCATTAGCATCCTTCCCGGGTCGCTAAACGAGTGCTACTTGACGATGAAGGCCCAGCGTTGGTTGTTCTATATCACAATTTCCCCCCTGCCATAGGAATGTGGAATTCCCACCACTGACTCTGCACCACTGGCATACTGTATACTGTATACCACTTCGACCTTTGATTCTATGACTGACTACTTATTGGTGGTTGGCTGTGTACGGTGCGAAAGAAGTTGAACATAGATACAAATTGCCGACGGCGTGATTCGCTGGGCTAAGTTTGTAACTTGCCATCCAATTCCTCTGGGCGACCGCGCAGACGCGAGCGAGTGTTGCGCAACACATGGCCCGGCACAAATCTCATCACCGAGGAGGGAGCGAACCGCAGTATAATTCCCTTCACACCTCCGTAAATGAGTCTTGCCAATGCTCACCACAAATCCCCCGGACAGCCGGTAATCGACTGTCGGGGCAAGAGCTCGGAGGCCGGCACGGCCCACGAGGAGCTGGGTGGTCTACACCACGCCCGACCGCCTTTGTCTCCGTAGTACTAATGTTTACACAGGGCAACCAGGTTACTAATTTCAGACCAAGTAGATCTAGAAGAGGCCCAGGACCGGTTCCAATATTAAACACACACACACATTTACAAGCTATGCAGGATAGCACGTGAGTGATGTGCATCAAATATGTATTAAAACTGCACACATTAAACAGATAAAACAATTTGTGTGCGCACGCGCACACACACAGCCATGTACACTAGTAATCGTGCACATTCATTCATTAAACATTCAATTAGAATTCATTCATTATACAGACTCAACTAGAATTCATTCCTTCATTATACAAACATTCAATATAATGCATTCATTATACATTCAATTATAATTCATTCATTATACATTCAATTATAATTCATTCATTATACAAACTCATTTCTAATTCATTCATTATACACACATTCAATTAGAATTCATTAATTATACAGACTCAATTAGAATTCTATCTACACACATTCAATTTAAATGTATTCATTATACTCTTTGGTTTTTTCGGTAAAGTCACGTAGGTAAAAAATTTAACTAAATTAAATCACGACGTTTCGGGCGCAACACAAGCGTCCTTCTTCAGGTGGGGACAACTTAGCGAAAGCAGAACCGCTTCAGTGTGTCTCAGAGGTGGCTGTGACGAGTCATTATATAGTCGCGGGGGGATGGGGGGAGGGGGTCAAATGCCATTATTAGACCGTTCATAATAGAGGTGTTTGGGTTAGATCGCGTTATTATAAATGTGTCGCCACCCTCCACCACCCGACACAGCCAATCAGTAATAAATGTGTCACGTTAGCAAAACGCCAATTAGTTACTTCTTCAGCCCACCGGTGTGTTTGAAGAGTGAATCCACAACATATAGAATTTGAGTATTACGACGTTTCGCTGGTAATTACATCCAGCATCTTCGGGCGATTTGCCAGGGTTGCGACACATCTACAATACGGCCATCTAAGCCATTATTATTATTATAGTGAGACCGCATGAAAGCCACTGGTGCGCACAACACAGAGGCAAGGATTCCCCGGTAGCCTTCACAGACTGTTGGGGCAAGTGCTCTTAGCGAGCACCTCTGAAGACCGGGACGGTGCACGAGGAGGTGGGTGGCCGCATTTGTCTCCCCAATGTTGAAGCTTATGCAGTGCTCGAGGTACTAATTTTTGGCCGAGTCGAGCTAGAGGAGGTCCAGAATTGGTTCAGATAATCGTCACTGATGTGGGCCGTGAGCGCGAATCGAACTCGAGTCACCGGGTTTGGAGACTCCACACACGCGAATAGACAAATATTCCCCGTAGAGCTTTAAACAGACTCTTGGGGCATGTTCCGTTAGCGAGCAGCATCTCCACACGCACGACGCCGAGACCTCCTAGAAAAACAAACACCCACAGCAAGCTCCACAATGTTTCACTCGGAACATCAACAAGAATTCCAAACTAAAGTGTGCACCCACACGACAGACACCCAAACACAGACACACACACAGAGACCTCCTCCTTCTTACCGAAGACGGAAGATGCCAGCGGAATGACAGCCATGGCTGAGACGAGACGGGCGTCCGAATCCGCTGCACAGCTCCCGAACGGCGTCAGCGCTGCTGCTGCTGCCCGCTCGCTCGCAGCGTCACGCCCGCCCGCCCAGCGCTCCCCCACCACTCCCGCGATCCGTTCTGGTCTCGCCGTGCCGAGCGGCCTGCCTCTTTACAACGTGACGTCACTGAAGGAGTGTGGGGGGTCGGGGGGTCGATGCTGTCCACACATCTCTCTCGGATTCTTCATTTTTTCTAGCATTTTTTTTTAATGGCACTTGCTGTTTTTTTTAAATCTGTTTATTTGTTACAGCATCACATATTTGTTCGTTATTTAACTTAAGTGAATTCGTGCTCAAATCAGCATTCATCTTCCGTTTACAGCCCTGCACAGCCAAGCTGGCGGGGCGTCGCGATGGCGAGGGGTGATCTCCCTCGCCTGGTGCGCAGGAGGTCGCGGTGACGAGGTGTCATCTCCCTCGCCTGGTGCGCAGGAGGTCGCGGTGACGAGGTGTCATCTCCCTCGCCTGGTGCGCAGGAGGTCGCGGTGACGAGGTGTCATCTCCCTCGCCTGGTGCACAGCAGGTCGCGGTGACGAGGTGTCATCTCTCTCGCCTGGTGCACAGGAGGTCGCGGTGACGAGGTGTCATCTCTCTCGCCTGGTGCGCAGGAGGTCGCGGTGACGAGGTGTCATCTCCCTCGCCTGGTGCACAGGAGGTCGCGGTGACGAGGTGTCATCTCCCTCGCCTGGTGCACAGCAGGTCGCGGTGACGAGGTGTCATCTCCCTCGCCTGGTGCACAGGAGGTCGCGGTGACGAGGTGTCATCTCTCTCGCCTGGTGCACAGGAGGTCGCGGTGACGAGGTGTCATCTCCCTCGCCTGGTGCACAGCAGGTCGCGGTGACGAGGTGTCATCTCCCTCGCCTGGTGCACAGGAGGTCGCGGTGACGAGGTGTCATCTCTCTCGCCTGGTGCACAGGAGGTCGCGGTGACGAGGTGTCATCTCCCTCGCCTGGTGCACAGGAGGTCGCGGTGACGAGGTGTCATCTCCCTCGCCTGGTGCGCAGGAGGTCGCGGTGACGAGGTGTCATCTCCCTCGCCTGGTGCACAGCAGGTCGCGGTGACGAGGTGTCATCTCTCTCGCCTGGTGCACAGGAGGTCGCGGTGACGAGGTGTCATCTCTCTCGCCTGGTGCGCAGGAGGTCGCGGTGACGAGGTGTCATCTCCCTCGCCTGGTGCACAGCAGGTCGCGGTGACGAGGTGTCATCTCCCTCGCCTGGTGCACAGGAGGTCGCGGTGACGAGGTGTCATCTCCCTCGCCTGGTGCACAGCAGGTCGCGGTGACGAGGTGTCATCTCCCTCGCCTGGTGCACAGGAGGTCGCGGTGACGAGGTGTCATCTCTCTCGCCTGGTGCACAGGAGGTCGCGGTGACGAGGTGTCATCTCCCTCGCCTGGTGCACAGGAGGTCGCGGTGACGAGGTGTCATCTCCCTCGCCTGGTGCACAGCAGGTCGCGGTGACGAGGTGTCATCTCCCTCGCCTAGTGCACAGGAGGTCGCGGTGACGAGGTGTCATCTCCCTCGCCTGGTGCACAGCAGGTCGCGGTGACGAGGTGTCATCTCCCTCGCCTGGTACACAGGAGGTCGCGGTGACGAGGTGTCATCTCCCTCGCCTGGTGCACAGCAGGTCGCGGTGACGAGGATAACCCTGACGCCTGCTTTAATTTGTGGAGTTTCAATGTCTCCCCGTGGTCACGTGGATTTTTCTCGGGATCCTCTGGGTTTTTCCTTCAAATTTAGAATCAACGTCACGCGTTTAGAGTATTTGGCTGCTATACGTTTCCACACGAGCCACTACGTTCAGCTATGATTTGTGGCCAGATCGCTTCTGGAAATATCTATATAGCTCAGTGAGCCTTTTCTGGTGAAATAAAATAAAAATCCACGTTGCTATGGCAGGGGGCGAGTCTCTGCACAGGCCAGCCACTGCTGACGCGTGGAACCCACCCGGCAGTGCTGACGGGACGAGTCTCGTCCCACGACGGGAAGGTTTGAAGCGGCAACCATCCGCTTGCGAACCCCGAGCTCCACGACTCAGCCGCCTGGCCTCTCATTGTTTTTTGTTTGTTATTCAATGTAACCCAAAGGAGCTGGAGTTATCATCTCCTATGCAGGAACATGCATTTCATGAAAAACTAAAACCATCATTTGCTATTTTATAATAAAATAAAGGTAATACAGTACAATCATCATAACGTAATCACCAGATATTTAATTATATTTGTTCCTGAATGGATTCATGACAGCAAATACACTTAATAGAATCAGAGCAATCTTCTGAAATAAGGGTTTTTTGTTTAAAATTTAATTGCATTTTCATACATTTGAGATAAATTACAGACATCACTGTGAATATGTATTGTATTTTAAGCAATCATTAAAAAAGGAACGTTAACAGAAATAATTGAATATCACAAAACCAACACAGATTTCTGGCTGCCACGCAGAGACCTGTCCATCACGGAGGGACATCCCGAACCCTCGCGCTCCTCTCAGCCAGGTGTGGCCATCACTCAGAGCCAATGCATTATTTATAAGCTGAGAGTGCGCGAATATTCCTCTTGTTTTTGGACGTAATGTGATTTGTTTTGATAAATGAGCCAAAAGCTGGCATGAATCATTTTTGTCGAGGATGCAGCATCGTGCCGAGGCGGCCCCGATTTGAATTCCCCGCTAGGTGCGCCGCGCCGCTGCATTAGTTGTTGACGCTGCCAACTTTGAACATCGCATCGGCTCTTAGAAGAGGCGCAAAGTTAGTCGAGCACCAGTGCCCGAGTGACACCACCACTACGCGTATTGTGTGGACTTCTTTCGCACCATACATTGTCAACCGTGCTAATTGGAGATGCGATCGCATTCCAACCCCGCTGGCCCTCCCCTCCTTAGCGGGAGGCACCCGTGCCTCGATATTCATCCTAAATAACGCAGAGGGTGCATGATAAAGGCGCAGCCCTGCAAGATTCTTGCTCACACTACCGCTGGCAGAAGGTCCACCCCCAGAGGGAGCTCGACAGAGCCCCTTGTACGGGGCATTGGCCTAACTCCCTCCATGTTGGGCACACGTATCTCAAGAGGAGGCAGTATCCACACTTCACCCCAGCGCGCGCGATCTGCAGATCGACTGAAATGTGGTGCACCCATTAATGCTGCTGGGTGCAGTGCCGAAAGAACCTCGTGCGGGGCCTGTAGCAGATGTTATCAAGGAGCCCTAAATAAAAGAAATACACGTAAATATTACACACACAAATTTTAAACTTGCATAGTATAGCAATTTTATGTTTTCATTTGCTATACAGCCAGATAATACGACAAATCGCTAACCTTAAACACCCAGTCGTTTATAAAAGGTTAAGGCAGTATAGTCCTATAGTAATATAGCAAGTGCAGAATCACTGAACCGGAATTTATAGCTTGAAAGCAATTAGCGCGGGGCCCTTGAAAGTGCGGGGCCCGTAGCTACATCTGTAGCTACTACACTAGTAGTAGCTACGACACGTGTAGTAGCTACTACTACATTTGTAGATACTTTTGCTGCCGGGATAATCCGGCACTGGTTGGCTGGATGCGCCGGGACATGGAGTCGAGCCGGTGACACCTCTGGGGTTGCAAGTCCAACGCGCAAACCATTACACCGCTGTGGCAGCACCATCCCATTGGGTGAATAACTCTTTGTTATATGAGATCATTTAAAAGGCCTGGCTGTAAAAACACAAAATACATATACCACACATCATTGAAAACAGTGGGTTGATATTTCCACATGAACCGGTAAAAGTGGGGCGTAATAGCAGGAAAGTAATTATGGCTATAAATCAAACCTCTATCGGCGGAGTGTTTGCAGGGGCAGGAGGACTCGGAGCACAACGACTGCTCATCTCCCTGCCGCACGTGACCGCACGGCAGCAGCCCGCATCAAGGGTAGTGATTGCTTATTAAATAATGAGAGGACATTACGCAGCCTTCTCAGGTGAGTGCTCCATATTTAAAATATCAGTATAAATTGACCGCACTGTACGCCAGTGTTTGCTTACGACGTTGCTGTATTGCGGTAATGCTTCGAGTGGAACGCATTGCATTGAGTCGTCACGTGCGTTTCATTTATTCAGATTATTTAGATGCTTTGGATTTGGCTGCTATACATTTCCACATTGTTCAGACACTTCGTTGAGCTATAATTTGTGGCCAGTCGCTTCTGAATAGTAATTGTAGCTCAGTGGACTTTACCTAAAGAAAATGTTGCTTCGTTGTATTTGTTTATTTGTAAAGTGCTGTGTTTTCCTTCCCTCGAGTCTGCACTCCTGCCGTGTTTTCGGAGTGGTTGTGGTCACGTGCTAACCCGCCCCTACTGGACATCTGTGAAAAATAGTTTAATAGCTCATCGGATTCCTCCGGTATAAATAAAGATTATGATTTTGATTAATGTGTATCCATACATATTGTACGTGATTGTTGCTTCCAGACACTCGTGGCTGCTAAACTCACCACAATGTATTTAAAAAAATTGATTCCTGAATCGAATTGCACCCCCCTCAACAACAACCACCACCACAACGCCCCCGAATCTCGACAGTGCATTGAATTGTGAGAGGGGTCCACGCAGTTGTTGTGTAGAACACTGTGCCATGATTACACCGAGACAGAGAGAGAGAGAGAGGAACACGCGCAGGTTGATGGGCTCGGGCAGGACGCGTCACGGCCACAAGGGGACGATGGTCGATGGCCAAACACAATGACGGAGCGGCAGTCGAGGGACGGAACGCGTACGAGAGGACGTCCACCGGGGAGATGAGTTCGTGTGCAACTGCTGGATGGATTGTTGCATCGAAGGATCGTGCGACGTTGGTGGCAGCGGCATGCGCAGGTCTTCATCCAGCAGTGGATCGATCGTAACTTATGATGATGATGATGATGATGAGACACCAGAGTTCGATACCCATCAGTGGCTAACAACAGTGGCGAGCGACATCTAAACTGGTCTGACCCCCTCGCCCTCTCTCTCTTCTCACCAACCCACACTGACCGGCGTGGTGAAGTATGGTCAAACAACTGCCATGACGAACACCTCCTT